CATTGTCATTAACAACTATTTTGGAGCCCATCGCACACCCCTACAAACGACTTAAAACTCTCCAGTTTTACTATTGCCAGGCAACAGACCATTCCACTGAACAGAAGTCATTGCTCCAGGTTATTTTGGGTGGATGAACTCCAAATTCCCCATAATTCAGGCCATGTCACCACTCATCTTCAAGAAAAAGACTTGTGCAGCAAGGTGATGAAATCTGATGACTTTTGCTTAAAACAAGTAAAAAAATCTTGGAACAAGTATACAAAATATACAAAAAATATTTTTCGCTGTTCTAAAACAAAATCATCTGATTCACTTTTGTATGGGGCAAACACCTCCATCATCATGTAACAAAATTAGTCTAAGATGTATAAAGAAGATATGAGTTTGACCTATTACTTTGTTTTCTCATATGAATTTTTCTGAGGGACAAAAACCCAACCAACCAACCAAAAAACAGAAAACCCCACGAAAACAAAAGAAAAGCACCAAAACCAACCAACCAGACAAAACAATTTAGCCTACCAAAAGGAAACAATTTTGCAAACTGTATATTTTTCTTAGAATCAAGTAGCAGTAAAATCAGTTCCTTTCACATAGTCCCTTATATTGTCAATTAATGCATCTAGACAAATCGAAGGACCTGAAAGTAAGCTTCAAAAAGGCAAAAGATACCTTATTTTAAAAAGGGGCTGGGGACTTTGAATCCTTTGAACTTGCATCTGTAACTCTCACAGCAGAAGCCTTGAAAAAAGGCAAGTATCTGCAGTATCTGCTTTTCCCCAAGGCCACAAGGGCTAAATTCAGGAAGTTGCCACCTGTAACACTCCAGTCTATCCCCTTCCACAGGGAACCATGTGCAAAACAACAACTGAGAGAGCAGAGAAGAAATACTCAGTGCACAACTAGCTTGGTAAAAGGCTGTGACAGGTACTGATCTCATAGCAAGGCAGGTATTAGTAGAACCCTGAATGTTCAAGCAACCACAGTGGTTTTTATGCCGCCTGTTGTTTGTCTACCTCTTAATTAAACAACTGTTTAAAGACCTGGTTTTAACGACCAGAAACAACTGGATGAGAAGATTAAAACTTCCTTCTGCACATTTAATTATGCCTTTGACTGACACTTTGTACACCTTAATGAAATTTTATGGAATCACAGATTGGTGTAGACTTTAAGAGACCTCTTGAGAGCATCTGGTCCCATCATCGTGCTCAGGCAGGGCCACCTACAGAAAGTTGTCCAGGACCATGTCCAGACAGCTTCTGAATATCTCCAAAGAGAAAGAGTCTGCAGCTTCTCTGGGCAACCTGTGACAGTATTCAGTCGCTCTCACAGTAAAAAAATTATTTTCATCATTGACACTGAAGTTTTTCCTCAGGACAGAAAAGGAAAGAATGTGAGAACTTCTCTGCTTTGCCTGGCTTTTTGACCACATGCAACATATAAGCCTAAGTATGGTACTGAGTAGGATCAGTTTTTTAACTTTCAACTAAAAAACACAACAAAAAAACCCAAACAGACTTATGTATCTTGCTAGGTTTACAGTAGATTCTCAGTAACAAAGGTTATGAAAGATAGACCAAAATATAGAATTTACCAGATGATTTTAATGTTTTTCTTCTCAATGTGAAATTTTTCTCTTTTGGAATTTAGAATCCATTTGACAAAACAACAACAACAAAAACCACAACTACCCCATTTCTCAAAATTTTCTATAAATTAACAATTTGTTATAATTCTAAACTAAGTATTTTTCTGCTTTATGATTTCATTTACTACTCAAAAACTAAAGAAAAAAGTGCTTAAATATCTCACAGTGGAAATAACTAGGAAAACCACTCTTCATGGAACAGAAATATGACAAAATACAAAAACAGTTATTTATTATTATTTTTTATTGTGATTTTTAAAGTTTTTTTCCTAGAAACTCAATTGGCTTGATTGAAGAGGTTTGATTGAAGGACAAAGTAACTTCTCTAACAAAGTTAGAGCACCTGAATCAATGTATGGGATGAGTTCTGCACTCAGCCTTCTCCTTACAATTTTCTGGACATCCTCCCTCCAGCTCATTTCTAACACCTACTTCTACTGCTCATTTGTGGCAAATTATCTACACGTGGAGAGTTCAGCTTATTTTCAAGACACTTCATACTGGCAAGCTCAGGTACTGCAGAAAAGAAATACCAGTCTGCAGATATTGAGGTAGCTGAGCTGTTTGTTTTTCAAAAGGTTTCCTGTAATGACGCCTGGGAATGAAAAAAAAAAAAAAAGAAAAAAAGAAATTCAAATAAAAACCAGCAAACCTGAGGAAATTAGTCCTGACCAACTCAGCTTATTCTATTTAGGTGGCAAGCAAAATTTAGATCTTAGCATGTTTGCAATTTTCTATTTCATAACCATTCTTTCCTTAAAATCTTAATACAGCATTAAGGACGGCACATCATGTTCTTCACTTTCCTTTACATTTTACCATGTCTCCCATTCCCACACTGTAGAATCAGAAAGTTTCATCAGACAGAAGGAGAGATAAGTTAGGAGAAGGAAATTACAACTAATCTCTTGCATTCACAAAGATTATTCTTTCTCCATAAGATCAAGTCCTGGGTGAGAAATAGTGTCTTATTGACAAAGGAAAGGAAAAAGTGTCAGAATACTTAAAGAGGTGGAACACCTCTTCTATGGGGAAAGGCTGACAAAAATGGGGGTTGTTCAGTCAGAAGAAAAGAAGGCTCTGGGTAGACCTTATAGCACCTTCCAATACCTAAAGGGGTTATAAGAGACTTGAAGAAGGACTTTCTACAAGGGCACGTAGTGATAGGACAGTGGGGAATAGCCTTAATATGAAAGAGAATAGGTATAGATTAGACATAAGAAAAAGGTTTTTTTACAATGAGGGTGGCAAAATATTGGAACAGATTGCCCAGAGAGGTGGTAGACACCCCATCCCAGGAAGCATTCAAGGCCAGGTTGGATGGGACTCTGAGCAACCTGATCTAGTTGAAGATCTGATCATTGCAGAGGGGTTGAACTACATGACCTCTAAAGGTTCCTTTTCTATGTTTTTATGATTCACTGTTGCCAAAAAATTCTGAAAACAGATGTAAGCCTACCAGGAGCAGGGCGGGAGAGAGTGGGCACAATGAAGGGGAATTCAATGGTCACGAAATGTAGTCTACTTAACATATAAACACTATGACTAAGGCTTGGCTTGTCCAGGACCATACTTGTGATTCATTGCTCTTTTTTCATCCTCAAGTTACCAATCTCAATTCTCTTTATTTTCCAAAAGACATCATATACAAGCACAGGTAGGGTAAATATAACCAACAAAGATGATATTCAGAATCTCTTGCTCTAATACCTGCTAGTGTGTACTGAATAGTAGTACACCATTAGTAACCAGAGAAAAAAACCTACATACAGAAAGGTTTCTCCAGCACCACCAAATCTAAGCTGTTCCCAAAACAGGCTTCCTACAGAGTCCCCAACCAAAGTAGAGACTTCTAAGAAAACCTTCAACCAGCATATTTCTATCAAGAAAAAAGTGTTCCAAGGTAAACAGGACTGCAGTTGCTCAGCTACAGGTAACCAAAACTTCTCTTGAACCGCTACAGCTAAACACAAGGTCAAGATTTTAATTCTGATTACCCAGATTAATGCTTGCGTGACACTCCTTAAACAAGCCAGGTTTAGCACATCTAACTCAGCTCTTAGTATTTCAATACGCCATTCCATGCTGAGAAGTACCATAGCAGACAAAATTCTCCCAATAGCAAATTTCTTACTACTAATAGTTAGTTACTGACATAGTTATGTCTCCTCAAAAGCATTTTAATTAAAGAGAACAATCTTTTGATCAGTTAAACTTTTGTCATCTCAGCATACGATGATAAAAAGACAAACCATTTAAGAGTCAATATGCTTATGCAGACTGGACAGCAGTTAAACACGATGTGTTTTTTCTAACAGTTTTATAGTAAAAAACTGTGCCTATAGCTAGGCTGTTTTTGAGAAGCTTATTGTAACTACCACAATAGAAGACTTTTATTTCTATGACATAAACCCGAGCTTAGGTAAGTAGTTATCAAGCTGACAAAGCTAACTCTTACCTAAATCAAGTTTTATCTGAAACATTAGAAGTTGGCAAATTTTACATTAAGAGTTGTCATTATGGGACACTGCAGAGACATTGCAGAGTTTACTGTAAAACGAAGCTCAATTATCCAGCCTAGAACCTTTTAAAGCTCATTTCCCAGCTATTAGACCAGCATAACCAAACAGGCATTTCATAGTACATATCAAAAGTTCAGCAGCAAGTACTGAAGTACAGTCACCAGTTGCTTTTATCTTTTTATTTTAAAGCAAGCCACAGAAACTATGTGCAAGCACACCTTATTCCACTCAATCTCTTTGCAGAACTCAAACTTCTAAGGGAACAACTTTATGAATTAGTGCAGAATGCAATGGGTAGCTCCATATGAATGCATGCCAGGACACAAGGTATCCTAGCTCACATACTGTCACTCCTCATTCTACATCCGCTAAAAAGAGACAAGGAACACTGCCTGGTTGGAAGAAGCTTTTTCGTGCTGTATTTCAAACACATCAAAGTTCTAACAGTAAAGTCTCATGTTTACTTCTAGAGCCTACATGTCTTTAGTAAGACGGAGGACAGAAATATTTAACTATAGTTTATCAAATACAAAACAATTCCATTTCAACTGATGCAACTGGTAATATTAATTCAATGTTTAGCAAAAATGCCAGTTACTTTAAAATCTGAATTTTAGTGATAAGTGTAAGATATTTCCTCACAGTTAAGGGTTTGACATTCATTACAGAAAATTCTGAAGAAAGAGCGTTAGTCTAAAATCATCTGGTATTCTTGTAATAGTAAAAAAAAAAACCAACTGAACTAAAGCCACAAACAACCACCACAAACAAAAGAAAAAACCCTACAAACAAGCAAACCCCCAAAACTTTGACAGATCACTCACCCGCAACGCTGGTAATGGTAACAGGAACTCCTTGAACTTGAACACCTGCAGCACTCAGGTTGGCAACACTTACTGTTTGAAGATTAGGTACTGAAGCAAGCTGGGCAGCATTCAGAGTGATGGGGGTACCAGCAACAGCCACCGGAGCAATCTGGGCAATGGTTGTGCCACCACTTGAAGACACAGGGGTAATGGTTAGTTGTTGGGGTAACCCAGCATTTTGAACTTGCAGGTTTGAAAGGCTTTGCAGATTCTGAACCTGCACAGTTTGCCAGCTGATCTGTCCTGATGGTGTTAAAGTTGGAGCCCTGATGAGCACCTGAGTTGGGCTCACTGCCTGTAGTTGAACATTCTGCAAAGGCTGCTGCTGGATGGTCTGTATGGTCTGCCCTGACTGGAGCTGAAATGACTGTGGAGGAATGGCCTGAATAATCTGCTGTTGAGGCTGCTGGATCTGTATCTGCTGCAGAATAGGCTGACCTACGATCTGGACCTGTTGAAGGGAACCTGACTGATCCTGAACGTTCTGTAGTCCATTGGACTGAAGCTGACTGGAGCTCTGGGCTTCGGAGTCTGTAGCAGTTGTTTGAGGTTCTTCAGTCGCCTGCTCTGAACTGCTGCCTGCTGTGCTTGTGTATTGGCCTGTTTCTGCAGAGCTTACCAGTGTGTCACTGCTAGTCAGAGATGTCGAGGCAGTGGTTGTAGCTGTGGAAGATGAGGAAGGAGACTCTGGCATGGTACTACCAGAGGCAGAAGTGACAGGTGTAGACGCCAGCTGATTTCCATTGGAAACGCCACTCTCAGTAGACTGCCCAACTTGTCCTGAACTTCCTCCAGTGGCAACGTTGTTAATCACAGGCAAAGCCAGGGTTACCCCACCAATGTTTATAGGTAACGTTGTTACAACTTGCGCCTGAGTACCAGGAATAGTTTGCAGTTGTAGTGGTATGGAAACACCAGGCCTAATTTGGACTGGAACTGTCTGATTTGCTAGATTTTGAGCAATAACATTTCCCGAAGCTGTCCTATTTGCAGTTGTGAGGATAGCCTGATTATTCCCTGCAGGAATAAGCTGAATTTGACCCTGTATGTCTTGTAGACCAGTAGCACTGGATGGATTGATTTGACCTTCCGTTGTCTGAATCTGTGGAATCACTTGGTACTGGACACTACCGCTTGGATTCTGTACTTGAATGACTTGGAATTGTCCAGGGGTCGTTGTAGAAGAATTGCCCGATTTGGTTTTTGAGGGAGATGTACTTCCATTGTTACTGCTGGAGGGACTTGCTGCACTTGAGGCAACAGAAGATCCTTGTTGAGGAACATTATTTTCTTTTGAAGCAGAAGGAGTAGCAGCAACGAGCTGCCAAGCGTTTCCAGCAAGCTGAGTTGTTACCAATTCCAACTGCTGTGGCTGATTCTGAAGCTGCACCAAACCTTGATTTGGGTCTATAATAATCTGCTGCTGTCCAGCTCCTTGATTCTCACCAGGAGTTCCTATTTTGCTGCAAGTGGCTGCTAGCAAAGCAAGAGGTGAAGGCTGAGAATCCTATCCATAAAAAGAGAGAAAACAGAAAGGATTCAGGAAAAGAGTGCAAGTATGAACCATCAGAAGTCAGCATTAAGGTTTGCACAGGAAGCCAAAGGGAAAAAAAAAAGGTGCTTCTGCATAGAGACCAATGATACAGCTCTGAATAAGGAAGTATGAATTACTGTAAATAATCTTTAAATATAGTGTTCCTAAAAGTCCCTAATTATCAATAATTATATGACAGCTAAGACCTCAACTGCATCATCAATTCAGTCTTTCCCCCCCAAAAAAATAAAGAAAAAAATGTCAAAGTGCTTCTATTACACGGAAAGCAGCTGATCACTGCAAAATGCAATCAAACAAACATGTCCAGGCAGTAAAAACATTGCACCCAACCAACTGTGTTTCATCCAACCCAAAGAAAGATGCCCTGAGCAGGAAATGCTGTTAGCTGAACATTTCATTTTAAATGCTAATAGTTTGGGCATTTCCCTATTCGGGTGTGTGTTCTTTACCTGTGAGCCTCCAGTTTTCCCTTTTTTATTATTATTGTTGTTATTCTCTGCCTCGGGAGATTTCTCTCCCTCTGTGGGCATAGTTTCCTCCTTCTTTTGATCTGCAAAAATATCAAGTGTAACAGGTTAATTATTCACCTTCATTTATACAATAACAAAACCTACGAGCATATCCTTTTTGGTTCCCAGCTTGTCGCTTTTGCCTCTTCATAAAAACAACAGCACAAATCATTATTACAAAAGAACGAGTCCTAAGAAACGTGGTTTGAAACCCAACCCATGGGGGCTGGAGAGTTAACACCCAGAAAGGGGAGGTTTGGTTTCCTCTCCCAGAGACAGCAGGAAAAAACCACCCACAACCCTCCTCCTCCTCCTGCCCCCTAAAGCATCGACGGCCACTGAGTGGCCGCCGATGCTTTAGGGGGCAGGAGGAGGGTTGTGCATGGGAGGGAAAGAGGGAGGAAAAGAGGAATGAAGGAGGGAATGATGTGCACAGGAGGGAGGGTTAGCGAAGAAAGGGGGAATGGAGGAGGGAGGTACGGAGGAGGCAAGCCGGAGGGGCAGGCAGGAAAGGAAGAGAAGAAAGGGGGCATAAGAGGAAGCAGCACGGATGGGCGGAGGGGCAGCGAGAGAAGAACGGGGTAAGAAGGGGGAGAACAGAGGGAAGAAAAGGGGGAACTCAGGAGGGCGGGATAGAGGGGGGATGAAGGGTGGAGGGAGGAGCGGAGGGAGGGAGGGGTGTGCACAGGAGGGAGAGAGGGAGGGGGTTACATACCGCTCATCCCGCATTAATGCCCCGCTGAGGCGCCGCTCTAGGGGGGAGGAGAAGGAGGAGGAGGAGGCGGAGGGTGGGGTGGGGGTAGCGGGGAGAAGGCCGGTCGCAGCCGGAGCTGGGAGGAGCGGGACGGCCTATTTTTCCACGAATGGCCGCCGCTGGGCTGTGGCGTAGCTGCCTCTCTCTCCGCCCGCCGCTGCCGCCGGCCTCAGCCCGCCGCCTTGAGTGACAGCCGGGGCCCGGGGTGGGCGGCGCGGGGGCGGGGCCCGCCGGGGCCCCAACGACGCCCACTGAGCAGGAAACCGAGCCCAGCCGCCGGCCCCTCGGTCGCCCCGCTCCGCCTCAGCGCGGCTCCCCACGCCGCAGGCACAGGGGGCGGGCCGGGGGCGGGCCGCGGCCCAGAGCCCTCTGCCTCCTCCGCCTCCTCCTTCTCCTCCTCCGGTCCTCTGCCCCGCCGCTCCGCGCGGGAGGGGGCGTGGCCGCCGAGCCGCGCGCGCTCCGCGGGGGCGGGGACGTGCGGGCGGCCCGGGCTTCCGCGCTCGCGCCGCTCGCTTGACAGCGCTGGGCGGAGGGGCGGGCGGGGGGCGGAGCCTCGGCCGGGGCGGGGCGGGGTCCGGCCGAGCCCTCAGCTCCGGGTCCCGCCGCGGCTCGGGCCGATGATGGACGGCGAGCGCGCCCCGGTCGCCAGCGAATCCGGCGAGGGAGCGGGCGGGGCCGCGCGCGGCCGCCGGCCAACCCGGTGGCGCCCGCCCGCCTGGCGCGCTCGTAACTGACAGCGCGCGGGAAGCCCCCCGAGCCGCCGCTTCCCCTGAGGTGCGGCCGCCGCGCCCGCTTTCCCGGCTGTCCAGGGAGCGGGAGGGGGGCATTCCTGCGGCTTCCATTGGGGAGCCAGGGCCTATTCGCTCTGCCGCCGCTGTACCCCTTTGTAAGAGCCTCTCGCGCCAGCCCTCTGCCTGCGGGCGGGGGAAGGGTGGCTCGGGGATGGCGTCCACACCTGCTGCGTGGAGGCGGGGACTGCTTCCTCCCTCCCCATTGGCTCGGCCGCAGCGGCGGGCACGCGCGGCACGCCGGGATATGTAGTTGCGGGCTGGCGGTGGCGATGAGCGCGCATGCGTGGCGGCGGTGCCCGGCAGGTGCCTCCGGCGCGGTTCGGGGCGGGTCAGCCCTGCCCGTCAGCGCTCGGTCTTGCTGCGGAGTCACAAAGCGGGACTCGGTCGCCGGCGCGCTGTGCTCCCCTAAGCTGGTTGTTGTTGAATTAAAACCAGATGAATTACCGTGCTGCTGTTGTTTCCTGCCGATGCTTGTGCCGCTGTTCCCTGCGGCTTCGGCCCCGCTCAGCCTGAAGGGTGTGAAGCGATAGCTGGGCAAGCCGAAACTGGTCGTGGCAGCTATGTGGTGCAAGATATGGTAGATCTACAATAACCACCTCCAAGGCAAAGCCTTATTCAGATTTAGAAAAAAAAAATTGGTTTACGTATGCAAATTTTGTTAGTTTAAATTTTGTGTGCTATGTGCCCAAGTTGTTTGTCAAGTGCAAAATCACCATCCTCCATGAAGATTAGTGGCATGAAACACCTCTCCTACAAGGGAAAGCTGAGACATTTGGGGTTTTCAGCCTGGAAAAGAGAAGGCTATAGAGTTAACTTTTTTGCAGCTTTCCAGTACCTAAATGGACCCTACAAGAAAGATGTAGAGAGATTGTTTGCAAGAACTATTTGTAGTGATGGGACCACAGGGGAATGGCTTCAGTCTGAGAGTAGGTTTAGATTAGATACTAGGAAAAAATTCTTTACTGTGGAGGGGATGAGACATTGGAACAGGTTGCCCAGAGGACTTGTGGATGCTCCATCCCTGGAAGTGTTCAAGGCTAGGCTGGATGGAGTTCTGAGCAACCTGGTCTAGTGGAATGAGTCTCACATGGCAGAAGGGTTGGAACTAGATGATCTTTAAGTTCCTTCCCTTTGCAGGCCATTCTACGATTCTGTGATAAGTCGAAGACGAAAGTGCCAAAGCAGTTCTTTACCAGCTATTCAACAGTTTCATCCTTCAAAAGGAGGAGGCCACTCTTCCCTTAAACTCTACTCCAGGCCTCCAACAAACTCTCTGGAAGAGAGGAAATATCGAAATACCATTGTAGAGTAAGAAAGTGATAGACATAAGCATGGTACAGGATGTTTCCAGACATTATACAGACAGAAAACACAGGTCACAAGTAGAAAATTACAGTACAGAATAGTCTGGGTTGGAGGGACCCATAAGGATCATCAAATCCAATTCAATTGTTGTGGCAGTGAATGAATGATATTTGTCCCTACTATGAACATAACACAGCCAAGCTCTTAATCTCTGCTCTGTAATGTTATATTGTAATAGTGAGACACCAGAATAGACCAACTGTTGGACCAAAGGAACTTCCTTCACAGGAAGTTTTTGAGAAGTTAGAATGTTCATGTGCCAGCCTAGTCTAGGAGTATTTGATTCCACATCAGTGCAGGGGTAGACAGTAATTTTCTGAACTCCATCACAATTCTGTAGTTCTAAAGGTTTCTGTTTTCTAAAGAGACAATTTTCTTGTGTGTCAGTCACTGTGTTGTGATTTTATCCCCAGAGCACTGCTCCATACTTTTGAAAGGCTATCAGTTTAGCCACTGTAGTAGTGAAAGTTAAAAACTATGCTCCTGAGGTGGGCCCATTTCCAAACAACATTCCAAAGGTACACAGAAAAGGTATCACACATAACATAGTTAAGATTGCTTGTTCTGTGTTTTCTACACTGTAAATGTATTTTCACTTCTTGCTCCCCCAAACTGTCCAGCCTAGTTGTTGTGAACTGGGATTCTAAGTACATCTACTATTGTGCTTTCAGAGAATGTAATTAAAGCTTCCTTCTTTCATCTATAAATTCCCCAAAAATTCTTGAATTCCTGCTCTATCTACATGGCAAATTTTTTTTTGTTTCACAGCAACAACAGTTGAGAAGGGATCATGACCTTACAAACGCTGAATTATTTGTGTTCAGACAAGCAAGTGGTAGTAGCTCACAGTTTACAGCTCAGCCAGTGCCTCCTAGTCAGTGCCAGGGAGCAGCAAGAGTAAGGCTTCCCCCTTAGAGAGTCCACTGCCAAGGCAGGTGGACAGGGCACCATCCCTCACATCCAAGCAGGTGACCTGCTGGCGATCCAGTGGTCATCAGATGAGCAGGAGACTGGGTCACCTCCACCACAGGGCCAGGGCTGAGCTCTATTGGAGCTCCAGTCCCTGGACAGTGTATGGGAGTGTAGGGTCCGGCTGTTCAGAGCAGCATTTTTCTGTGTACTCAGCTTTGGGAAGCAGAGTATTTTTTTTTTTTTAGTGAGAGATGGAGGTTTAAAGTCCTATGGAAACTTTTACTGGATTTCCATCTGAGGCTGTAGGTACAGTGCTTTTGAAAAATATCCTCTAGGGTGCAAAGAGTAAAATCTGTCTCAACTCAGCAAGTGATTGAATCAACAGATGAAAGATGATGGGGATATAGGTGGTTTTAGTAGGGTCACCATGATTTTCATTTTTTATTTTTACCATCCATAGTTACTCCTATGCCACCTACTCTTTCCCAAATTCCAAATGTCACTCTTGCTCAAATTCTTTCTGCCAGCTTAAGCTTTCTGAGTCTGCACCTTTCAGCATTGTTCCCACATGAACCAATACCTTCCCTTTGCATCCTGACGCTGGTTGTTCTCTGTGGGCTTTGATAGAAGTCAGCAGCACTCACCTGTTGAGTTATATGAAAGAAAAATCAGGTCTGCGGATGTATGTCTGTTGGCACAGGAGTCCCAACTGCTAATGGAGATCCATGAAACTGAAATATCAGAAGCAGAAAAAAGAATAAACAAAAGGCTTTCATCACCACTTTCTTTCAGGCTCAGAACTTTAGAAGTGTGTTGTCACCCAGGAGAAGAGCACAGCATGGAAATGTGTGGGTGAGCAGAGACCCACTGAAATATGAGGTTCCTGACAAGATGTAGCTCAGGCATAGTATCACATGAGGGTGGCTGGTTTGCACAACAGCCCAAACTAAGAAAATCCACTTAATGCTGAATCTCTATTGCTTTGTGTCTCTCACAGTGTGTATATATTTTAACTACAAAGAGCTTATCTCCTTGGTTTTGATACTTTAATTATCCTCTCTCTATCCATATGTGCAGTTTTCTGTCTCTCTTGTTTGTCAGTTCTTCTATGCTTTGTTTCTGTTTTCCTAATCTTTTCATTTTCTTTTTCTCCAGCTTCTTCCTCTGTGAATTTAATTCCCTGGGTCTTGCTTTTCCCATTATTTTTCCTACTTTCTTTCCTTGTCCTAATAGTCACTCATTTCTCCACTTCAAAAATATTCTCTCACCCCAAATCCCTACCTGTATGTTGCATTTTTTTCCTGTTTTCTCTTCCTTTTTAAGCTCCCAAACTCTCTTCTTCTTTATCATTTCTGGTTTTCTCTTTAAGCTGTCTTTACCATTCATTGATTTTTCACCTAACACACTGACAAATATTTTTGAGTGTATTTAAGCTGACTCTCTAGAGCACAGTGGGGCATGTAATGCAGAACAGAACAACATCCGAATATCTTTACAAAGGGGGAAAAAAAAGAGAGGGCGTGAAGGGGGAGGGAAAGACAGCTGTCTGTGTGCTCCAGTTTCATTGGTTCCCTTCTCTACTCTCTGCCAGCACTTACACAGGTTGCATTTGGACAGAGAGACGAGAGGCCAGCAGCTGCAAGCAGCAGACAGTAATGACATGGTGGCTTCACTAAACTGTAAGAACAGTGGTAGGGTAGCTTGTATTAGATTAAAAATTCTTCAGCTCTTAGACATAACGTGCTGAACTACTATAAGACCACACTGTTTGACTGAAGCTGGGGGTAGGGGTGAGAATATTTATATAAATAAATGAAGGAGTAATTTTTGTCTGCCAGGATTGCATAAGATCAAGTATCAGATAACCATATTTCTGAATGAAGCTTATTTGCCAGCCCAAAGGCTCTTTTGCCAGTTCTTTC